GGACGTGCAGGCTCAGCGGCCATGGCTCACGGGCCCAGCGGCTCCGTGGCATGTGGGATCTTCCCGGACCGGGGCACGAACCGGTGTCCCCTGCATCGGCAGGCGGACTCTCAACCACTGCACCACCAGGGAAGCCTCTGTTATCTATCTTTTTGATTCAGGATGCCCTGATAAAGATCTCACTGTGGCTTCTTTTTTTTTTTCATTGTGGCTTTTGATTTGTATTTCCCTGACGACTAATGATGTCAAGCATTTTTATGTACTTATGGGCCATTTGTGTATCTTCCTTGGAAAAATGTCTACTCAGATCTTTTGCCCACTTTTTAAAAAAATTATTTTTCTTTGGCTGCAGTGTGTGGCTTGTGGGATCTTCGTTCCCCAGCCAGGGATTGAACCTGGGTGCTTAGCAGTGAGCGCAGTGGACCACCAGGGAATTCCCTGCCCACTTTTAAATTGAGTTGTCTTTTTACCATTGAGTTATGAGTCCTTTATATATTTTAGATATAAGTCCCTTGTAAAGATATATGATTTGCAAATATTCTCTCATTCTGTGGCTGTCTTTTCACTTGATGGTATCTTTTGACGGAAAAATGTTTTTAATTTTGAAGTCCAGTTTATGTTTTTTTGGTTTGTTGCTCATGTTTTTGGTGTCATATCTAAGAATTCTTTGCTAAATTGTAGGTCATGAAGATTTGCCCCTATATTTTCTTTTAAGAGTTTTATAATTTTTACTCTTTCGTTTCGGTCTTTGATCCATTTTGAGTTACTTTTTGTTTATGTGTGAGGTAAGGGTCCAACTTCATTCTTTGTATAGACATTCTTGAACTGCTATAAACAGTAAATTTGAAGGTGTCCCACCTTGTATAAGTTCCGCTTTGCGTCCTATGTTTGGCTAGATGAGCCTTAGAAAAGCAGAAATTCACATATAGATATCCATCCTATAATAACCTTTTTTCATACTCTATTGGTTAACTTTTAAATAGACCACTAGGGACTTCCCTGGTGGTCCAGTGGTTAAGACTCTGTGCTTCCACTGAAGGGAGTGCGGGTTCAGTTCCTGATCAGGGAACTAAGATCTCACATGCTGCACCATGTGGCCAAAAAAAGAAAAAAAGACCACTAATGATATGTACAAAGATGTCAGACAAACGTGGGATTTTATGCCAGGTTGAACCCACAAACGTGGAATCCGCATATACAGAGGACTGACCGTACTATATCATTTTATATTAGGGACTTGAGCATCCTCGGATTTTGGTATCTGTGGCAGGGGGGTCCTAGAACCAGTCCCCTGTGGACAACTGTAATTTTTTTTGAGAGGTGAACTCAGCTTGGGGACAGAAACAGGAGAGGCAGATTATAGAAACTGGATAAGAAATTCTCTCAAAATTTCATCATTTCATTATTTTAATTTATTGTGAATGCCCACATCATTATACAGGTTTATATCTAATTTGGGACTGTCTAGTTTGGCTGATTTGGGTATTGTCTGATTTTTCTGTAAGAGATGAAAACGGTGATAATTCACCGCTGCAAGCAGAACTCTGAAAGAAGATTTTGTCCATACTGATAAGAGAAAAAGTTAATACCTCTTAAATTAAAAAGTAACTGAAATGAACACTCCAGCTGAACGAGTGCCTCCATCCAGGTGGATAGAGCATCTTTAGTCTCTTGCAAGAAAGAGATGTTATTTATCTTTGCCTCGTGCAAGGCACAGTGTCTGGAAATACACTGAACCATTACACTGTCTTTGTAGACCAACCCTGGAATGGTCCCCAGCCATGGATTTGGTCCCAGATCTTATTTCTTTGACAACCCTCGAAGATATGACAGTGATGATGACCTTGCCTGGAACATTACCCCTCAGGGACTTCAGGGAAGGTAAGACCCTAGTTCATGCTGGAGGGGCGTGGTTAGGAGGCTGAGGGCCGAGCCAATGAAATGGATTCAAACTAAACGGAAATGCCTACATCAAGGAAATGCCTACATCAAATCCCGGAGCTGGAGGTAGGGTGAGGCTAACAGAAAAAGGAGGGGAAGCATTTGAGTAGTAAGACTAACTGCAACCAGAGTTGAGACCCACCTCCTGAGATCACGTGCTTTGCGACCTCTGCCAAGGCCATGGTCGTGGTCTGCAAACAGGAGGTGGGGTAGCTACTGGATTCCCTTCCCACTCTTCAGCCTAGGGACGCTTCAGCCACACTCCAGTGCTCAGCGATCATCCTGTCCCTTCTTTCAACCTGTGAATCTGGGACTTCAAGGCCAGCAGGGGCGAGAGGGGCAGAAAGGGCTGACCTAGTGCTTGCCAGGCTCCTCTCTTCACTCTGCCCGTCCTCCCAGGACCCCTGGACTGTTCCTGTGAAAGGGTAGCTTAAGGCTGAGTGTTTTTTAGAAGTGAAAGCTTATCTTATGAAATCCTTTGTGAATTTAAAGACCTACCGTTACATATGAAGGTAAATTCTTTTTACCCCTGGGGCAAAATGATAAAGATATGCTTGCTTTTCTCCTCTTTATTACTACAGTAAAATCCTTAGAAAACCTTAAAAGAGGTCTGAAAGGACTCCTTGTTATAGGGTCAGAAAAAGCTGGGAGAATACCTTGCTTTCTCAGTGGATCAGGGAGCAGAGAAATCCTGGTCAGATGATAGAATAAAATACAGTGCTGGGGAAAAAAGAGTGCAGAGCAGTCCACTCAGCCAGCAGGTGTAAAGAACAGATAATTGGGAAAGGAGTCAGTGAACTCCAGGCCTTTGAGGTCAAAAGGTGTCCCATCTCTCTTCCCTAAAACTGTTCTCTTCTCCAGTCCCCACGGCATTGCCTGTTCGCTATGTATGTCCCTCTATAACCTGCTGGAGCAGCCCTAACCTCTCACGTGCCGGAAGAGACACAGCTGAAGGTGCCCTCACTGCCGCTGTGGAAGAAGAAAAGATCCCCTTTCCATTACACAGAGGAAAATAAAGATAAAACAACAACAGTGTACATTATTGAGAGCTAACTGTATAGTAACATTCTGTTATAAACATTTTACAGGTATTAGCTCACAAAAGCCCAACAAGGTAGTTACCAATATTACTCCCATTCTAACAGATAATAAAATTGAGGCACAGGAAAAAAAATTTTTTTAAATCGAGGCACAGAAGTTATTTGTCCAAAGACACACAGGTAGGATGGCCCTAGAGTCTGACATATAGAGTGAAGTAAGTCAGAAAAGAGAAAAACAAATACCATATGCTAACACATATATATGGAATCTAAGGAAAAAAAAAAAAGGTCATGAAGAACCTAGGGGCAAGAAGGGAATAAAGACACAGACCTACTAGAGCATGGACTTGAGGACACGGGGAGGGGGAAGGGTAAGCTGGGACAAAGTGAGACAGTGGCATGGACATATATACGTTACCAAATGTAAAATAGCTAGCTAGTGGGAAGCAGCCGCATAGCACACACAGGGAGATCAGCTCGGTGCTTGGTGACCACCTAGAGGGGTGGGATAGGGAGGGTGGGAGGGAGGGAGACGCAAGAGGGAAGAGATATAGGGACATACCTATATGTATAACTGATTCACTTTGTTAAAAAGCAGAAACTAACACACCACTGTAAAGCAATTATACTCCAATAAAGATGTTAAAAAAAAAAAGACACACAGGTAGTGAGCTATACTCTCCATTAGGATTCAGATACAATTTGTTGCTAAAGCGTTTTGTTATACATAGTGATTGGCTGCAGTATTACTACACTTCTGGGCTGTATAGAGTTCAGGTGACTTTTGTGGGTGGTCTTCTAGCCACTGTGCATAGCACTGTTTTTAGTGGGAAAACAGGCTTCAAGAAGCTACTTTGAACAGCTTTGGGATTGTCTGGTTTATACAAAACCCTAGTTCTGTCTACCTAAAATTGGCATGTCATCAACAGTCAGCATAATGTTTCACGTCACTGAAATCTCTCTTTTTCTTTTCAAGTTTTGCTCCAGACTGCTATGATTGGGGACAACAAACTAACAGCTTCCTGGCTCAAGTAGGGACTTTACAACCAGACTCAATTTTGGATCCTGACAAACCAAGCCATGGGTAGCATCAGTTAACAGTTATATGGACGATGCCTCAGTTGAAAATCTTCAGAAAGACTCATTTAATGACAGCTGAATTTTTAGGGCACGTTTCCTTAAGAAATAGGACTTGATTTTTCTTTGTTACAGGTTTCTGATGGCTCCATAGGACTAAGCAATAATTTAGATTGATAAAAACCTTATTTTAGTACTAAAAAGTGAGCCTGGCTGCCTGTTTCAGTGAGTATAATTTAAACTTCAAAAAAATTCTGTACTTTTATAAAGATGTATTTTATATAACTTAATGCTAAAATATACTAGGATTTTTTGAGAATGTTACTGCAATATATGTTGTAGTTTGCACAGACTTTTATGCATAATTCACTTTAAAAGTATACAGTATATGGTCTGATGGTTTTTTGTTTTGTTTTGTTTTGTTTTAAAGGCTTTTGGACTAAAGTATTCCTCAAATCCTTACCTTTTCAGATCGCTCAGATTCTGGTAGACTCTAAGTACAGTTGACATCTAGAAAGCCGATTGCAGCTCCAGTGTTGAAAGTTACAATGTAGCAGAATGTCAGCAGACTGCACAGTAGGTAAATTGGCTCCTTAAGAGTTGTTGGAGGCATAGATGGTTGGTTCCTCAGAGAATCTCCTAAATTTTGCCAAAATTTAGTACTCCTTTCAACAGGGCACTAATGTATACCATCAGTGATAAGTTGATAATGTTAATAAAAACACTGATAGAATTGACTTACACTATTAAACTTCCTCTGCTGTATTCAGAGATTTTTGCACAGTTTGTTAGCCCAGTGAATCTAATACCCATTACCTCAGGACTTCAGCAAGACTGCACCTTTCCCAGCTCACTGAACATTCATTACTGAACAACGAAGAGGTTCTCAAAAGGGGTTTAATAACAGATTATCCGGAGTCCTTGAGCCAAAAGACTATGTGGCATCCTAACAGTTTTCTTATAGTTTCCAACCATATTTAAAATAATACTTTTTATTTTTAAGTAGCTCTGAAAGCAGCCCACTGGAAGCTGCATGTTTCAAATGGTAGTAGCACTGCCATATCCTATAGCATGAGTCCTGCCTCTCAGCCATGTAAAAGGGCATTCCAGACAGTTGCTTGTAAGTAGTATTTCATTTAAGTGAAACACGTCATGAAATACTAGTTCCCCAGCCATAAATGCCATTCTAAAATCTCCAAGTCTATATATATACATATATATGTGGCCTGCAGTTATAAAACTGCCTGTGATAGGAGACTGTACATGGCTCTGTCAGGGAGGCTAGAGTCCTAGAGGAAGTATTGTTACCAGAGAGAAAGTATCTTTCTGCTCTGCCTAGGAGATCTCACATCTCGGGACAGAGGGAGGGGCAGGTGAAAAGGAACTTATATTAGCAAGTTCTGCCCACATGATGAAACCCATTTCTGATGTCTTCCTTCCCAGTTTGGCCTTCAGGAATAACTTGTCTCCGGGCACTGATTTCACAGTGATCAAGTCTGCTTCTCTTATCTTGATGATATTTAAAAATCAGGATCTCAAGTTTTCAGTGGGTCATGATTGGGTTTTTCAGGTGTACCAACACCTTCACCCTGCATAATCACACACAACAACATCCTTGCTTTTCAGTATATGGAAGAATTTGGGTCACGTATTTAAAACAGTTACTGCCAGGGAAAATTCTACACTGAAGCAAAATTTGCACTGATTATTCAGGTTACCTTAAAATATTATTATAAGTTGTTATTCTAAATAGCTTTAAGAACACCCTACTTGTCATACTGTCTTTGTTAGTGATACTTAGAAGAATTTAAAGGCAGGCGCAGCAAGTGCTTAAAAATCCTTTAAATCATGCTTTCAGAAAGTACTGCAGTTCTTCAGTATTAGGTCAAAACATCATGCAATTATTATAGTCGTCCTATGACATACAAATATCTTATTATTATTTTATTATTGGCAAGAAAATTGAAATACTCAACCTTAACTGATAAAAGCCGTAATCTATTTTTATGATTAAGCTGCTAGGATTATTTGAACTATTATTTTATCAGAAAGGATAAAAATGTTTTAAGTGCCTATTTTTCTCTTCTTCCCTTTTTGAAAAGTAATGCCTTAAAGTACAAGTAATGTAAACACATCTAGAATATGAAAAACTATGATTGTAACAAACTCTCTCTCATAGTAAATGATCCCATATACTCTGAAATGTGTGTATGGTGTGGAAAGGAAAATTAAAATTTCCTTTAACTTCCTAATTTACTTGTGTTGCCAAGTACACTAACAAAGCTACTCCTAGGTGAAATACTAAAGGCCAAGAGAAGGCAAGGAATGGTGATTACTGGTTCTAAAATACCCAACTGTCCTCTTGTTTTAAGGCAACATGATGAAATTAAAACTCCCATAATTTGAACGTTAAAAAAGTATGGGGAAGTATGGCAATATCACTGAAAATTTTGTACCATCATTTAGCTAAGTCTGATTCAACACTAAAAGGCTGCATGTGAATGTTCCTGTGCATCCACTGGAAATATGCATAACAGAGTTAATTATGGAGTTAATTTTCTAAAGAATTCCAACTGATTTGTGTACAGGCAGACCTTGGAGATAACTGCAGTTTGGTTCCAGATCACTGCAATAAAGCAAAACATTGCAATAAAATGAATCACATGAATTTTTCTGGTTTCCCAGTGCATATAAAAGTTATGTTTACACTACACTGTAGTCTATGAAGTGTGCAGTAGCATTATATCTTAAAAAGCAATGTACGTACCTTAATTTTAAAATATTGCTAAAAAATGTTAACCATTATCTGAGCCTTCAAGTCATAGTAGTAACATCAAAGATCATGGACCACCTTAACAAATATAGTAATAATGAAAAAAGTTTGAAATATTGGGAGAATTACCAAAATGTGACAGAGTCACAAAGTGAGCACATGCTGTTGAAAAAATGGTGCCGATAGACTTGTGCAATGCAGGGTTGCCTCAGACCTTCAATTTGTAGAAAATGCAGCATCTGAAGTGCAATAAAGTAAAGCACAGTAAAATGAGGTCTGCCTGTAAGATATCCTTCAGTGGCTCTTTTTCCTTTCTACAATTAACCCATTTAATTGAGCTGATGATTAAAACACCCCGAGTGTAACACACACAGCTGTGGACTCTAAGAGGTTTTGATTCTTAAAGTATACACACACCAGTCACATTTAGCTATGCCAGTTCTTTCTTGAATGTGTCGGGCACATTGCTAATGACTATGCTGGTTATTGTGTTTAGCTGCTTACATCAGGCATGCTTGCTAACGCATCCCCCAATTTTCTCTCTTACCAAAATCCAGAAGAACTGCTCTTTGTTGGCCTTGAACAATTAACCCCTATTAAGAGTAAAGGAATAAGTGTTAGTAAATCCTAGAGCATGAGAAGTGCTTTGAGAAAAAGGTCCTCATTTACGTTTACATAGTATTACAAGAATATTGCTTTTACTTTTTAACCATAAAGATGAACTTATATTAGAACTAAATGGGTCTAAATATTTGAAACTATCAAGATTTCCAAATAAAGAAACTTTTTTTTAAAAAAAAAAACTTGCTCTGGTGTCTTTAGATTACTGCATGATAAAGTATAGGGCTGATCAGACACATCTAATATGCATTTCTAATTTTTATTCCATATAGGTGAGAATTTTTTTTAATTGGAAGCATTTCTAACTATGCATAATGCTACTTAAGACTTCACAGTCCAGATGGAGGAGCTTTTGGAAAGGATCAAGCTAAATAGTAGAATTCTTCTCAGAGACTATAAACAAACTGATTAAAGTGAGGAAACGTTTTTTTAAAGGGACCATGAGGATAAGGAAGTGGTAGTCAGTGTTTATTGAGCACCTACTATGTGCTAGACCCTGGGCTCAGTACTTGTGTCTGTGGACCCAGTCTGTGGACACAGCACCACCCTTACATTAACCCTACTCTTGGCGCTTAGCAGGTATGTATTTACGAAGAGCCCTTGCACCAAAGGGTCAAAATACCCTAAACGTCAGCTGATGTTCGTGTGCCTCCAACCTAGATATCTGGGTTCATTCCCCGTACCTGTTGCTCAGCTCCTCTGGGCCTGGGCACTGATGTGGGTTCATTCAGCATGGGGTTCTGAGACTGGCTGCCAGGTCATCAAGTAGGGGTTTCAAAGTCCTCAGGTCCAAACCTGTTGACTCAGCAGCTCCTAAAGGTATCTACCTGGTTCCTCTAAAGCTGGATTCTGTACCTCTGTCTCTATCCCTTGACCTGTCGCTGGGACCTACCCCCTATTTTCCTAGAGACTAATCATACCTTGCCAGCATTCATTCTTTAGCCTCCAAACCAGATCTGTCCTTTTGGAGCTTGGTGCCCTACCACTCAGAATATTAGAGTCTTTTATCTCCAGAATATGTTTTCTGTCTCTGAACTTTAAGAGCCTAGTCAGAACTAGAGATGAGCTGCCTGCTCTCTTCAGCCGGATCCATGACCTGTTTCTTTTCAGCCTGTATGAGCTTCAAAATCTCTCTTTTCTCTGCTGATCCCGGTCACTCTGACCTTTCTTGACTCTGACCCTCAATTTCCCACGACCCTTGCTAACCTACAACAGTCCCTCCCATTTCTTTGCAGTCCCAAGTCATACATGCTCCTTGAAGGCACTGATTGAGGTATAGAAAGAGTGAGTTTAGGATAACCAAATAATGCTTTACCAGCACCATTCAATTTGTGCTACTGTATATCCTTGGTGTGCTATCCCCTTGGTGCATTCACTAGCCTAGAGTCTGGGCTTCAGGTCTGCAGACTGAAAACCTGTTAAAGGACAGCAGAACACTTACCCATTCGGAGATACATTCTGTGAAGGAAATCCGCACGGAAAAGTTAAATGATATCAGAATGATGCATGGTGAACACAGACTCTGCCCTGACCAAGGGGTGGTAGGTAGATGATTTTAATCAGCCTGTGACAACCTGATGGCACTGTCAAGCAGACAAATAAGATTCATTCACATCG